GGAAAGTTGAAAGGTCCTAAGTTCAAGATGCCTGAGATGAACATCAAAGCTCCCAAGATATCAATGCCAGATTTGGACCTTAATCTTAAAGGCCCCAAAATGAAAGGAGAGGTGGATGTTTCACTTCCAAATTTAGAAGGTGATTTGAAGGGACCTTCTCTTGACTTAAAGGGCCCGAAGGTAGATGTAGATGCTCCAGATATTGACATTCATGGCCCAGAAGGCAAATTAAAAGGTCCAAAACTGAAGATGCCAGACATGCAAGTCAACATGCCCAAGATCTCCATGCCAGAAATTGACCTGAATTTGAAAGGCTCTAAGCTGAAGGGAGATGTTGATATCTCTGGTCCCAAATTAGAAGGTGATATTAAAGCTCCCAAATTGGATGTCAAAGTTCCAGAAGTGGACATTTCTGGTCCTAAGCTCAACATTGAAGGGAAATCAAAGAAATCTCGTTTTAAGCTTCCCAAATTTAATTTTTCAGGCTCCAAAGTTCAGACACCCGAAGTGGATGTCAAAGTTAAAAAACCAGATATTGATGTAACAGGCCCCAAAGTTGATATTAATGCTCCTGATGTTGATATACAAGGGAAAGTGAAAGGACCAAAATTTAAAATGCCTTTCCTGAGTATTTCATCTCCCAAAGTTTCTATGCCTGATGTGGAGTTAAATCTGAAAGGTCCTAAAATCAAAGGCGACTTAGATGTTGCAGGTCCTAATTTAGAAGGTGACTTTAAAGGTCCTAAAGTGGATATTAAAGCACCAGAAGTCCATCTTGATGCACCTGATGTGGATGTTCATGGTCCAGACTGGAATCTGAAAATGCCTAAGATGAAGATGCCCAAGTTCAGTGTGCCTGGCTTAAACGCAGAAGGGCCAGATGTGGCAGTAGACCTGCCAAAAGGAGATATACACATAGAGGGTCCTAGTGCAAACATTGAAGGCCCGGAAATCAATGTGGAAGGTCCAGAAGGAAGCTTAAAAGGTCCCAAGTTCAAGATGCCTGACTTGAATATCAAAGCTCCTAAGATCTCCATGCCTGACATTGACTTAAACCTGAAGGGACCCAAAGTAAAAGGTGATGTGGATGTTTCTCTGCCCAAAGTTGAAGGGGATCTGAGAGGGCCTGACTTTGACATCAAAGGCCCCAAAGTGGACATTGATGTCCCAGATGTGGATGCTCATGGCCCAGACTGGCACCTGAAGATGCCCAAGGTGAAAATGCCCAAGTTCAGCATGCCTGGTTTCAAAGGTGAAGGCCCAGAAGTGGATGTGACCTTCCCTAAAGCTGATGTTGACGTTTCAGGACCCAAAGTGGACATTGATGTTCCCGATGTGAATATCGAAGGTCAAGATGCAAAACTGAAGGGGCCCAAGTTCAAGATGCCCGAGATGAACATCAAAGCCCCCAAGATCTCCATGCCTGACATTGATCTAAACCTGAAGGGACCCAAAATGAAGGGTGATGTGGATGTGTCTTTGCCAAAAGTGGAAGGTGACCTAAAAGGCCCTGAAATAGATATCAAGGGCCCCAAATTGGACATTGATACTCCTGATATTAACATTGAAGGCCCAGAAGGAAAATTAAAGGGGCCCAAATTTAAGATGCCAGAAATGCACCTAAAGGCCCCCAAAATATCAATGCCAGACATTGATTTAAACCTGAAGGGTTCCAAGGTGAAAAGTGATGTGGATGTCTCACTTCCCAAGATTGAAGGGGATCTGAAAGGCCCTGAAGTTGACCTGAAAGGCCCCAAAGTGGACATTGATGTTCCGGACGTCGATGTTCATGGCCCAGACTGGCACTTGAAGATGCCCAAGGTGAAAATGCCCAAGTTCAGCATGCCCGGCTTCAAAGGTGAGGGCCCAGAAGTGGATGTGAACCTGCCCAAGGCTGACGTTGACATCTCAGGACCCAAGGTGGACATCGAAGGACCTGATGT